AAAAAAAGGATCAGTGCAGAAGTGGAGTAGAACCAGCAGACCGAGAAAAATCCTTAAAGTAAAATATTTCGACAGTCTCTTTCGAAACTTAATCTGACTAAGTGCTTGGCTGTGGCGGGAATTCTTTCTGGTGTCTGAAACTGGCCTCTTTCTTATACGAAACCGTTTCGCTCAACAGAATATATACGTCAAAGATTAAGACAATTTATTACGGAAGCTATTACTAATTAATACAAGGAGAAAAGTAATTCCGAGAAGCATGTCTGTGTATAATTACAAAAAGTTTACCAAAAGAATATAAATAAATATTAATTCAAATTTTATTGTTTATCAGTATAACATTGATAACATTTAAGCTTACTTTTTGGGACAACTTTTATTTCCAATTTTTATTCTACGGAAATCTATCTATCTATCTATCTAACTATCTATCTATCTATCTCTGCTTCCGTCTATCTATAAGCCCAAAAGTCTCATTCTGGATTCAATAATTAGTAAGTTTTATGCTTTTGGTTTATTTATCTCCTATTTAATCATTATAGACGGTATTAAATGGCGGAGTAGATAATGGCTGCTCCAGTTGATAATGTCAGAATAGGTAATGGTTGCTCCGGTTACTGCTACGCAATAACTACTTATTTAAGACATTGCATACTGAGAAAGACAAAATTCGAAAAATGAAAAATTGGACTTGGTCTGAACAGTAACATCAGCAAAAACAAACGTCAGTTTAGAGACAGAATGCAAATATTATAGAAATGGGTTTGTTGTCAACAATAAATGGAGGAATAATGTACATCGATGTACAGAGTACACTGTTCTAGAAACAAAAAAACATACAAATATCAACAAACAGGATGGATCCAGAATGCCAGAAAGCATGGTGTTTTACTTTGAAAAGACTGACATCAAAAAGTTCAGAGGTCATCCAAGAACCACCATAATCACAACGCTGAACCGAGAAATTCAAAGAACAAGGCAAAAAGGACCCAAAGGACCCACTTTTCCTTTGGAGAAGTTTACAATCAAGGAAGATCTGCAACGAATCCGCAAACTCGCAGAGGACACTGAAGGCTGCCAAAATATTGTCGAATCAGTATACAATGTCACTAAAGATGATAGAACACGTTAATTCATGACCTCAAATCGAAACAGTTTTGATGATGAAGAGACGCAATAGATCAAGTTTATATATATATATATATATATATATATATATATATATATATAACCTGAAAATAGCGTTCAAGCATGAAACCGACTGTTACCTCCGCTCAGTGTTGGGCTTAATGCCCACTTTAATATTAGCATACGCTCTATACCTGATATTGAGCACTTTTATCCATAATTATGCCATTAAAACCTTAAAACTATATCTCTATTATAAAAAATCTACATATTCAGTTAAACAAAACCATATTTTTGATAATGGTTTATAGATTAGTCGAAAGCGCTTGAAACACAATGTCCAGAAAAGAAAAATACTTGTACGAATGCAAGAAACATTTAACAAAAAAAAATGTTTGATAGCAGTGCCTTGTCAGTGCTTTTACCCATAAATATCGCTATATTTTTATCACAAACACACACATATATAACTTTTGCATTGAACTTGATTAAAGATTACGCTTTTTTTCTTTCCATAGTACAACAGCCGAAACTAACATAAAAATTACAAATATCTCGCAAGTCCGTTTAATTATCTAAACATCAGGTAAGAGCCATTACTGTTTATATTCAGCAAAAATATCTATTAAAATTACAACAGGTCATTTCAAGATGGTTATTATTTAATTACTATTTAAGACGTGATCAGTGAGAGAATGAATAAATCGAGAATTTTAAAAGATTTTTAAAATTCCATTAATTTTTTGAAAATCTTCATAAAAAAATATAGCGTTAATTTCTTTTATCCCATTAGTCTACAATTAAATTTAAAAAGCTGTCAAGCAAAGCAAAATTTTATTTTATTTTCACTTTAAATTCTTGCATTTACAATATAATTTCAAATCAGGCGGAGTTTTCTTCAGAAAAAATAACATTCGCAATTAAGTGGTTTTTTATAAGATTTTACAAGTTAGTTAGAGGAAATTAGTGGAAATTTATATAAAAAATATATTTTTATATCGTTTTTTATGCAAAAAAAGGAAAAAAAAACATGAAAGTGTTTTAATGAATGCATTTAGCCAATAATGCAATAAGTGAGAAAAAGTACAATAATTTGTTGAATTATTGCCGATTTTTAAAATACTGGTTTATCAAAAAGATCAAACTGCAATTCTATTTATTTTCAAGAGTTAAATATTCTAACGACTAAATTTTTTACTTATTTGTGAATATTTCAGTTTCTATAAAATAAAATAAATAAGTAAATAAAATAATATCAGATTTTTCTCCAATTCTTTTTTCTAATGGTATGGAATTTATTAAAATTGAATTAATTTTTAAGTACGATTTAAGTGGGTTTTTCGTCACGGATGTCAATCTTGCAAAAGTCCGT